AATTGTCTCTTGCTGACCAGCCTGGATAAAGCTGCATATGTAGCTGTCTTTCTTTCCGTGCTAATTCATAATATTTGGCCTGCTCTTCCCGGGAGAGGGCGTGCCACTAAAACCAAAAAGGAAAAGGGAAGAGAGAAAAGGTAAGTGAGGCAGCAACTGTCTTGCTCTGTTTCAAACTCTGATGTATGGATTTGACATAAGCATTTCACTTCTAGAGGGAAGCAGCCCCAGTACTACAGAAACCCTCCTCGGACGGAGGCCGGTGGCTGGAGTAAAACTCACATTTCAGTCTCTCTGCCATGGGGTCCTGTATCACATGCAACACATCAAAGCCCTTACAGCAAAAAGACTGTCATCCACCCGTTCCCTCTGCCAATGTAAATTAGAAAGAACCCCAATACCCAACTTTTCCCTCTTTCTTCATCTGGAGCTTACACCAGTAACTGAGCCTAAGCAGCATTTATTTATGCTGAATGTGGTAATTTCCACATGCCTTTTAGGACAAACACACCCCTTTCCCACCCAGGTGCTCTCCCAACTAGGCCATCTGAAGTCTGGACCCCGAGTCATGTGATACCATCCGGCAAGACATTAGAAGTCACCCATCTCCATCGCCTCACACTCACACAGCCTACAGCTCCATAATACTGATAACGCTACTCACACCACACACTTCTGACTGTGGTTAGCATCTGTCCAGTGGAGAGCAAGAAACAATGTCTAAACTTGCTTGTCATCTATGAGACTGGGGTTTCTGACACAGAACATACACTCGCTGGCAATCTTTGAGGCCGTCCCCCATCCCCCACCCCCCACCTCAATGTAACTGATAAGCAACAAAATTCTGTGATTCTGAAGGCAAGGTATCCACCTGGGGTCTTGAAGACTTTACACGCATACTTTCTTGTTCACTTATTTGTGAACCACTTGTCTGGGTTCCCGGCAGATAGTTTTCTAGTACTTCCCCCCACTTGTTCAGTACCAGGACCTGCCAGAAAAACCTTCCATGGAGAAGTGGGGGTGACCCCTAACTGTGAGATGATTTCACTAAGTGATGTAGCTGCTAGAGGAGGAAGGGTCCCTCCTTGAAAATGTCACTTAGGTAGCTGGGAGCCTCTGCCTCCTCCAGTTTTGTACTAGGCAGTCTAGTGCATTGATTCCAATTCATTTCATTTACCTTGCTTTTATTTGTTTCTGGCTTTTGTTCCTCCCCCCTCCTCCTCCCCCCGAAATGAATTAAAAAGGAAAAAGAGGAAAAAGAAGGTGTGGTTGGTTGGGGGGTGGGGAGGAGAAAGAGGAGAGGAGCTGATGGCCTTGGACTTGAAGGTTTGGCTCATCAGCGGTTTTTTTTCCTAAGGAAAGCGGGGATGCCTGCTGCTCTAATCTGACAGGACAACAAGGGAGCCATCTCACAGGACTCCTGGCACCTTCCCCCCATGCCAGCAGGGCAGCCACAGCGGAGCCCACAGGCCGGGCAGCCACTTCCAAGCATTTTGAAATCCCCTTTAGGGTCGGCCCTCTGTGGTGGATTGGGCAGATGGTTATTTTTTATTTTTTAAATGGCACTAGAAGTGCAGAATGTAAAGTTAAAAAAGCACGACACACAGGTGACTTGGTGTGAGCATAAAGGCAAATCAGGTGATATGCTTTTATTTTATTTATTGGTGTGTGTGTGTGTGTGTGTGTGTGTGTGTGTGTGTGTGTGTACGGGCACATGTACCACAGCACACATATAGCAATTTAAGGATAATTTATGTGAATTGATTCTCTTCTTCCAACATGTGGCTGGGTCTCAGGGATCAAACTCGGGTCATCAGTCCTGGTACCAAACACCTTTAAAACCTGCTAAACTATCTTGCTGGCCCATCGTAATATACCTTTGTCACAAAACAAGAGCAACAACAAGGGGGAAGGTGGCAGAAGAGTCTTAACAAAAGAAGTTAAGGAAAGACAGTTCTTTGTACTAGTAGAATAAACAAAACAGGACAAACAGAACCAGAGGAGGAGACATGTATGGACAGTGGCTACTCTGTCCAGAAAGCCACTGTGTTTTCATCCAGTGATTCAACCAACCACAGGAAGCCTCAACAAACTGGACACCATACATGTATATACGTGAATGTAAGTATGCATAACAAGACATTGATCATTGATATTTATTAACTCATGATAAAAAAAAAAAAAAAAACATGACTGCCGTGGATGGAGAGATGGAGGATCCTGGTTCAATTCCCAGCACCCACATGGCAGCTCACAACTGTCTAAATCCATTTCCAAGGGATCTGGCAAAACACCAATGCACAAAAGATTTAAAAAATAAAAATAAATTTTTTAAAAAGTGACTACCAAAAGGAAAAATGTCAGTAATCTGGGCGAAGAGAAAAAAAATGTCAAAAGACAAAAAGTCTGAAGAAAAAAAAAAAAAAAACAGTCTGCCACTTTTAAGTCTGTCTCTCTACTCATTGGAAATGTCTTGTGCCCTACATCACCTTCGTGACAGGAGGATATTGGCATGATTGGGAGCTTTGTAACCTGAGAAAAATCTAGAATAGTGAGTTAAAATTAACTCCCAAAAATGCACATCAAAGTTGGATGTTCTCCCCAAACTACCAGGTGTTTGTTGTTCATGGCAAAACAGTAAGAGAAGATTTTCCCTGAGGGCTCCTAACCCTCAGAGAATGAACACATGGTCAAGAACCAAAGGTCACCGATTGGACGAGTGCAGTAGTAGGTCTCACAACAGTCTTGCATTTAGGAAAAATAAAACTTTAGGAAACTAGAGCGACAGCCTTCTTTACAGGTGTTTCTGAAACACAACTAAGAAAACATTTTCCTACCTTGTTGATTACTGAAAAATATACATTTTTTTTAAAAAATTCATGTATTATCAAAAACTGCCAAGTCATAGGGGGAAACATTTGTTTAATTTTAAGAAACTGCTAAGATATTCCAACAATCAGGTTGTAGCAAATGTGTAGTAAGCAGACTCCAAACAACAGCGGGGCAAGTCAGTTTATTTTAAATAAGATTTGGGCCATTGATATTTATGATACATATTAAGAAAACTTTGATTCATCCATAGGAATGGGCATTTCTATTTTAGAGACAGTACAGATGAATTTAAAAAAAAATCAAAAGATAAAATGTTCCGGGGTGGATTTAAGATCCACTTTCAAGCAGTGTAATCACGCCAGTGTAAAACTTCATGATTTTTAAAGCCAGAACTTTAAAAGAGCCGAGAAGCGAGGCCCCACCAGAGGGAGTGCTCAAAGGGCAGAAAACCTGATCCTAATCAAAGATCCAGAGGCCTATAAATAGAAACAGGTGTCCAAATCAAAGACAGAGAGAGACCCCAAATGAGAACCATCCCTAAGACACACATGCTTGGGTCTGGGGACCGTTCAGGGAGCCGAGAAAGTAGCAATTGTTGGAAATGTGCATTAAAAGGAGGAAGCATACCTCAAAGATCATATCCTCACCCTCTTGAGCAGGAAAATAATTCCTGCTGCGGGGCCAGGGGACATCTGACTCAAAGGCAAAAAAAAAAAAAAAAGGAAAAAGCTAAGAGAGGTATGTGAGCTGGAATTAAAAAAAACAAGAAACAAAAACAAAAACAAAAAACCCAAAACTTCAATCCCTCTTTGCCTCTGCTGGAGAAAGTGGTCACCAGCCTTCAGGCTTTTAAGGTAGAGCCCTTCGAAGCTGGTGGGATCACTCCTGCGCTGAGATCTGGCTTGGGAATCACTGTAATTATCATTATTAAGTGTTTAAGAATCCATAGGGAGATAGGGCATTGCACACAGAACACCACAGAGTATAATCTGCCACTGTGCCCAGGCTTCGAGTGCTCTGTGTCTCACAGATTGGAACTAGCAACGGGTTGAGGCTCTCCACTGGGAGTCCATAACTCAAGGCCTGCTTCTGTGTTCTGTGTTGGCTGCCGGCCTCCTAAACGCCTTTATGAATGTTTAATGGATTGAGTAGGGAGAACATTACTGTGTCATCAATGGCAGCTAACACACAATCCTCTCTATGCTTCCCAGAGGTGGCTAGAGCCTCCTTACCTTGTTTGAACTTAAAACAAAACAACAACAAAAAAGTCAAAAACACATATACAGGGGCATAAACTAAACAGAGCACACACAGGGGGGACTGGTACATAAAAATGAAGCATTCCTAATAAATTGTAATGCAGTGTCAGCAAAAAGGTAACTTTTGAATTGGATGAACTTGAGTTTGCCCTACTGCTCTGCAGATACCTGGCTAAGACCTCTTCCATCCTGTGGGAAAGCGGTTGGAAGGAATGGCTAGTCTTTCGGAAAGCTGTCGGAGAAGGAATTTTAAGAGTTCCCAAACCCTGGTTATAGTCTAGCGTCTCCCTATATGACAAGGGGTGAGGAACTGTAACAGCATGGACTAATGGAGGGATGCAAGGGAAAAGAACAACCCAGAAACAGCACTTGTGGGCTTTAATGGGAGAATGAATTCCAGAACTCAGGAGGCAGAGGCAGGCGAATCTCTGCAAGTTCTAGGACAGGCTCCAAAGCTACACAAAGAAACCCTGTCTTAAAAAACAGCAACAACCACCACAACAACAACCATGACTTCTCCAGTCCCTACAGCTCTGCTTCTGTTTGGGAAGGTGAGGCTTCCTCTCTCCTCTGGGCTGGTCTCCCAGAAGCCCTACTATAGCTCCTTCTGTGGAGACTGGCTGCCAATCCTCACCCCTCTCCCCACACTACTCCAGTTGGGGACATCTATCCCCTAAGGGCTATGTCCCTCAGGTCTCATCGTAAGTTCAATGTCCTCAGAAGGGCCTTTGCTGGCCTCTGTGATTCTCTTGCATATTCCTGCTAATCACAACCACTGTATTTACTACAAAGTTTAGTTTCTTCTTCTTCTTCTTCTTCTTCTTCTTCTTCTTCTTCTTTTTTGCTAATATCTATATCTGGCCACAAAACACCATACTCCAAGAAAGCAAGGGATGTGGCTGTTTTGTTCAGCAACTGTTACCAAGCATCATCACAGACAAATAAAGATACTTGACATACAGAGTGGTGGCAAAAGCAGTTATCAGTTCCTGGAAGTTTCCTATGTCCCAGGCATAGTCAAAATGGTTTATAACACACCGATCAGTGTACCTTGTGCCCTACTTCCCAGAAACAAAATTGCGCATGTGTGCACGCACACACACACACACACACACACACACACACACACACACACACACACACCACCTGACGTGTAACTAGTCTCAGCACACTTTAATGAAGCCGTGCCATGGTTGCCATAACCGTTCCCGCATCCCGTTCCTTACCCTTCTGCCCAGGATCTGGTTGATAGCTGCGCTCTCCTTTAGCGTGCACTCGGCTACGACATTTGCCCTCATTTCCTTCATGTATAACATGAAAGCGTTCAGAGGCTTCTTAATGTGAGGTCTTTTTGGCTCCTGCTCCTTTCTCTGTTCATGCTGGGGCTTCCTGAAAGGTGGCGGTGGTTAGGGAAGAGACGGGAGAGAACATCTGTTCACACTGCCAAATTCAATGTGAGGATGACCCTTCCCAGCCCCTGGGACACCAACAACAGCGTGTGGCTCCTCTGATGAAAACCCAAGTTGCAAACAATCAAACCACAGGGTTCTTCGTTTACACAATGACCCTGAATTAAATCTCCTTCACTCTGAGAAAGCTCCAACTAGAGCCCCAAAGCTGAGGCCCTTGGTCACCTCCAAAGAAGCTGGACACAAACTACAGGTAAGCATTCCCTTTCTACTGCAATGGATGTTTACTTTGGGGGATGGGGATTAAAGGACACTGAGAAAAGCAAGCACTTTCCCCCAGCCCCTCCCACCAAGCACACGTGCGTGGGGTGTGTGTGTGTGTGTGTGTGATTGACAGTATATCAGAGGACAACCTTGGGTGTTGATTCTCAGTTGACATCCATCTTGGTTGTTTGCTTGTTTAGAAAGGGTGTTTCACTGGCCTAGGGACCACACTGGCCCCAGGGTTCCTCTTGTCTCTGCCTCCTTGGTGCAGGGGTTACAGACATGTACCACTACACCTGGCTTTTTTACAAGGATACTAGGGTTCAAACTCAAGTCCTCACTCATGCAAGACAAGCTCCTTACAACTGACCTGGCTCCCTAGCCCCAGTGAGATTTTGACCCTTCTCACCAAATTAATTTCATTTGAATATATTTTCAAGATCTTTATGGGCTGTTATACATTGCTTGCCTTGCCCTTGTCATCCACAGACTTAAGAGGCAGAGTTTCTAATTCCTCCATAACAAGGTAATATAGCCTGGCTCTACAAGTTTGAGCCAATGCTGGCCCAATAGGGAATCTGATGTCGATGACCACTTTTTCTTGAATTCTGTGTTGATGTCGATGACCACCTTTTCTTGAATTCTGTGTTGATTTCGATGACCACTTTTTCTTGAATTCCAACCTGGGCAATTGCATTTCCAGAATGATGTGCACCGAGCACCACTCTGTCCTTCATTAAAGGAAAGTCTGGGGTGGTAAGTGGTCTACAGATCACAATCCCTCTACATCTAGACCAGGGCTCCATCCTGGTGAGTGTCCATCAACTGTTACTCGGATAGTCCTTTCCAGTCTCAGAATCAAGCCCCTGTTCTCAGAGCCTTCCAGGCTGAGCTACATGGAATCTCACAACAGAAGAGGGGGCGGGGTCTACTTACACGTGCATTAGGTCGCTGTCAGTGTGGGGGTGCTCCTGTTTGACCTGAGGCGTTACAATAGCTGGATGAGGGATGCCGGTTGTGTGGGGGCCAGGAGGGCCGGGAATCATATGATGGGAAAACCTATACAAAGAAAGGAAAACACTATGCACTGCTGCTGTTATGAGCAAACCTAGGCAGAATTAGAAGAGCACTCACTAACTGCCATTGGCTACAAGTGAAGATGTATGTGGATATACACCTGAGTGCTAACTATAGACTGGGGAAACAATTGTCTTGTTTGTTTTCTTTCTGTATTCAACTAGAAAATATAATTATTCCCTGGAGTTTTCCAAACTGGCATTCTTCCTCGGGAGGGCAGCAGCCACAAGATAAGGGGAAGTTGAATCCATTTTCCTGCAAACAACTTTCCAACAGAAATTCCAATAAGAGAAATTACTGGAAACATGACACTTTATTAAAGATTCAACCAAAGATATGGCATTTCAAATCGCACAGGAAGAGTATGCTTATATTGCTGACTGTTGCATTTACCTCAGAAGGGAAGAACTGAGAGACAGATGGGACAGGAAGAGTCCTCGGCCCCTCATTTATAAGTCTTAGCAATCATCCAAAATGACCTTCTACACTGCAGTGAAGTTTGGGAGGCAGGGCCTGAGGGAAGAGCTGGTTCAGGAGCTAAGGGCAAGGGTTAAGCTACAAGGAAGGACAGGATTCTGCATCCAGGCAGAACCTCCATCTGCTAATGCCTTTCTCCTGGGCAAGAATATATAGTATTCAAAACATTATCCTGCCCATCACAAGCCATTGCAAAAGAAGGGATCTTCCCTGCTAGAAAAAAAAAATAATATTCCAGATGTTTGCTGACATATCTCAGCAACACTGAGTAAATTTGGATATGCCTTAGAATTTTTTTCCTTCTGATCAGCTTTAGAGTAAAAGCTTAAATTTCGAAAGGAAAAGTCTTTGGTCTTTCCCAAAGCCTGCACAACTGAGCCCTCATTGGGAAAGGAGAAAAGAATATCTATCTGTTAGGGGTTTAGTACTTCAGAAACAAACTTCTTAATGATTTTATTTTATTTTTCTAGAGACAGGGTTTCTCCGTGTAACTTTGGAACCTGTCCTGGCACTCGCTCTGTAAACCAGGCTGGCCTCCAACTCACAGAAATCCACCTGCCTCTGCCTCCCCAGTGCGGGGATTAAAGGCTTGTGCCAACAATGCCTGGCTCAAACTTCTTAATTATTAAGGAGACAACAATACAAATATTGACTAAGTAATGATGTCCTGCTAAATGTAAGGATACATGATGCTTAGATGCTGGTTATCTCCCTGTGAGGAAACCTTTGTCTTCAGTTTAAACAAATGAAGTCTAGCCATCTAGAGTTGTATTTCACTGAATGAATATATATATATATGTTGAAGTTGAAATTTGCCACATAAACTGTAAACATCAAACCCACATTTAAAAAAATAAAAATAAAAAGACAGATTCACATCCAGTTACTAGCTCACTAGCTCAGCACTGGGACACTAGCTTCCTCAAGAAAGCCACATGGGACACATAGATGCCACAGCACAGGCTGTGTGTACACCACGGACGTCAAGCACAGGGCACAGACGGAATCCCTTCCAGAAGCAGAAGCACCACACAGAGCAGCCCCAGCGGGCTTCACTTGCAGAAACATGTCCACACAGGGCCTGATTCACACACTAGGATGTACATCCTGCCATCATAGCTGGGCAGCTTGTGCAGACTGTCCGATCTCCCCCCAAAAGCCGAGGGCCAGTTGAGGAAGGATCTGGGCTACGGGGTATTTTCAAGTACTGCCGCATTAAAATGACTTAAGTCTCCACAAAGGAAGCCATTGTAGAACTCTGACCCAACTCCTTTCATCGCCCTCGCCGCCCCCCCCCCGCCCCTGCCAGCATGATCTAAACCAGACTCTGGGGATAGTTGTCATCCCACAGGCAGGTGGCAGTGAATTCTGGAGTTGCAATGTTTCCTAGTGTGGCTGGGGACTTGGAGTCACTGTGACACCTAGTGTGGGAGCCAGGCACACTGCACAGACGCACGCAGGGGCTGGGTTATGCGCTCCCAGCCAGCCAGCCCAGAGGCAAGCAGGGCGGGGTGCGCACAATGCGAGCAGGGGAGCAGCCTGGCCGTTCCACCTCCACCTACCTGGACATGGAAGTGTCGCCTGACAGTGAGGATGGGTAGGGTTGCCTGAATCCACCCGTGATGGGATATACAGGCTGACCTTGCCTGAGGTCACAGAAGAGAGGAACCCATCAATGACACAACACGAGTTACCAGCTAGCAGTAAGAGTTTGGTGACAGGACAGAGATGGGTATTGGAAGGCAGCAGGCCCCCAGCATTTTTACATGTGACTGGTTTCCTTCCTCACCCTCCCATGTGTCAGCCATCAACTCACCGGGGGCCTTGAAGAAACCCCCCTCCCTCAGCTCTGAACACAAGCCAGCCCATCGGTGCCTTCTTTTATCCCTTTCCCTCACCCAACAACCTTTAATGCAAAGTAGGACTTAAAGATGCTTATTGAGTATAATGCAAACCACAGAATAGTAAACTGTGCCTTCAGAGAAGCAGCTTAACCAATTCTTTATCCAAACCTTTTTGAGAATTTAGAAAAAGAAAGGGCACAACTCTTCTATTTACATAAAAATACACATTTCAGAGACCCCCCCTCCAACTATATACCCCCACTAGAATGAAGAAATCAAAGCCTGATTCACTGCAGTTACTTTTCTTCTCCCTGAGAGGTCCCTTCCTCTCCTCTCTTCTCTCAAGTCCCACTTTTTCTTTCCCTTGTCTTTATTTCCAGCTGCCAGTGATGGCGTAGGCATACTGCTCCTGAGTGGCTGAGTTCAGCCAGAAAAATTGAGCTAGGGCTGGATGGATACACAAAATCAAATAAACGAATGGACAGAGACTTAACGTTAAAAGGAGAGGGAGTGGGAGCCCTGGACTTCCTGGAGAAAACGTCAGAATGTCTGGGTGTGCCGATGGGGTGATGCCATGGGGGCTGTGGGGACAGCAGGGAGAGGTGTCTGCTCAGCCGCAGCGCCATTTCAAGTGGGACAATTGAGGAGGGAAGGAGGAACTGACTCTGGGCTGGAAGAGAGCTGTGTGACAACAGCCACACTCTGCAAAAATCATTATTCTTCTCATCATGTATTTCCTTTATCTTCATAATTTAAAAAAAAATGAATGGGCAGCGGCATTTGGCATGTTTCTGGAAATAACCATCACAAAGGGAAACATTAGCATTGAAATCTAAAGGGATCCCAAGCTCCCAAGTCCTTCCTCACTCCCCTGAGTGAGCCTGGGTGCTTGCTTATTAATGTTTGAGGGATGCTAGTGTTCCATTAATTTGTCTTTAGCTCTGTGACATTTGCCTCACTTAGAAGCAAAAGTAGACATCCAACGAGTCTAAGTCCTCTGTTCAAAACTATGAGTTGTTAAGGAGACACGGGAAGAGAGAAGCCGCTGAGCCTCAAGCTTCATACTGGCACAGCAAATGCCCAAAGCCACAAACCGAATCCATAAAACTACAAGCTTCAAAGAAAATGCTGTGCAGTCATTCTCTCCACAAATTAGCAGAGGGGGGGTCAATCCATTTCAAAGTCCCTCTGCTTTGTTTTTTGTTTTTTTGTTTTCCCTTAACCTTTCAAATTGAAATGAAATAAAGATAGCACTTTGCTACAGAGCTCATGTCCATGAACGGAAAGTGGAAGGACACGTGTTCCAACACCCAACCCAAGGTTGTGGGAATGCTCTTACCAGCCGAGGGGTGGGGTGATCTGCCCAACAGCACCCGGAGACAGGGGGTAAAAGGTGGGGATTTCCGGAGCTGGAGGGTGTCTGGACATGCCTGTTAAAAGGAAAGGTATGGTGTTTACAATCGGGGACAATCACTCGGAAGAGCTCGAGAGAAAGGCAGTAAAGGGCTTCGTGCCATTTAGTAATTCTGGTATAGGAAGTGCCCATCAGATCCGGTGGATGGAAGTGAGTCTTTCTTCAGATTCCAATGCCTGGCGAAACAGGGTCTTTAGACAGCCGGTTGTAGCTGAAGAAATCCATGCTGGAATGAAGAGACTGCCAAGAAGAGAGTCACCTGGGCAGTCTTCTGACGATCTAGTCTGCCCTTGTTGTTCCACTTGAGGAAAATGGTAGGCCAGTGTTTTTGTGTGGAACGGAAAAATGACAGCCCTTCCTAAGAAGGTGGCCTGCCATGGGGCTCAGAGATTAGGTAAATTGCCGTTTTCACTGGTTCCCTTATGAACACATAGATTTGGGAAATGAGATGCCTCAGAGGAACAGAGATTAATTAGGACTCTTCTGCAGCCTCGAAGTGGTCACACTTGATATGATTCATTTGTTCTGTGCTGCCATTTCAGCTGCCTGTAAGCTCCTCATCATCTCTAGTCCTCTGGGTCCAAGGTCACACTGTTCTGGATTAGTTGTATTCTCCAGCAAAGGGGAATGCCACCAGATTGTTTCTCATGCTTGAGCTCTCCTGGGAGCTGAGTGCCCTGTGACTGGGAAACCCACCTAATCCTAGTCCCGGATGGCATCCCTTTTTAGACCTTACCTTAGGTAGAGGTGGAAACAAAACCGACAAGGCAAAAATACAATCATAGATTATGAACTGCAATGTACTGGGAGAGGCGTTTCTGAAAAGCTCTAGGTAACTTACTTCATGTAGCTGTCCACAGTTTCAGAAGACCATTTCCATATAGGGCATAAGTACTCACCAGAACTCACCAGCCAGTGACTGTGAACGCATTGGTTAATACGTGGAAACAGATGAGCACATTGAGGGCGGGGCTCTTTCAATAGTATGGGATTTTACTACACAACATGCCCGTGGGCCTGAGCATGTGAGACCTAATCACGTGCTACCTTCAATGTGGACTGATACTGATGGTGTGTTTAGGACAAAGCACCTCTCAGTTCCTTCCCCAACAGCAGAGAGGAGACTGGTCTGCATGTTGCACTCAATAGAGCCCTCACCTCAGGTCAATGTACATTTACTGTTTTCAGAGTCACTTCATATCTCTTTAATTCCCGCCCCCAATTTTTCTGGACACACTAATTTCCATTGATTCCATCCCAGGGGCTCCCCAAATTTGTTCCCTAGCATGTCTTCCTTCTTTCTCAAAAAGGGCAGGGGTAGTCTTGAGTTCATGCCCTGGGACCTTTGGCAAGTTTTTCAACTTGTTGCTTGCTAAGATCCCCAAATCCTCAAATCTCCCAGGATCTTCTGGGAGGTTCAAGTTAAAAACAAACTACTGCCCACTGCAAAGACAGCCAGACCAACTGTCTTTGGTCTAGTTGTGAATATTAGAAATGTGAATTCTACTACTTTTAAATGAGAATGGTTTCCAAAGACAGTTTCTATTTTCTGGGTATTTCTGCATAGGGCTACTGTATGGACATAGTACCATTATCCCCTCCGCCACCGCTAACCCACCACCCCAGATGAAGCCGACTAGCCTATGGGGACATTGACATAGTGACTCTGGTCTCTAGCTGAGCTAGACAATACACACCGAGGGAAGCAAAAGCATAAAGCAATAGAAGGAGTTAGTTCAGGTTTGGAGGGCCAAGTGTGCAAATGGCATTATATAAACTCGCTATTATGTAAACGAGCACCTTCAAACCATAGTTTACATATCCCCTGAGGTACATGACAAGGAAGTACATGAAGCCCAGGACAAACATGCAATTAAAACCAGGATACCCATGTTAAAACAACTAGAAAGTGTGTATGGAATACACTATAATAATCACAAATTTTACAAAGGAAAACAAAGACTAGATAAAGCAGAGAACTAGGTGCTCACACCACTAGTCCCTTCTCTAAACATGTCTGGAGAAGTGTTAAAATAAACTAGGGTCATACAACGCAATGGAGAAGAGCAGCAGACAGGCAAGCAATGGGCTGGGGGGGGTCATGAATATAATCAGAAGATTATAAACTGTTGTTCAAAACTGACCTGTCCTAGAATTTTTCAGAGAAAAACCACTCAAAAATAATGTGTTGGTTTTTCTGTTTTGTTTTGGTTTTTTGTTTTTCAAGACAGGGTTTCTCTGTGCAACAGCCCTAGCCATCCTGGAACTTGCTCTGTAGACCAGGCTGGCCTCAAACTCATAGAGATCCATCTGCCTCTGCCTCCCAAGTGCCAGGATTAAAGGTGTGCGCGACCACCACCCAGCTCAAATATGTTTTTTTTTTTTTTTAAACAGTGACTGTCTCAAAATGCTCAATCAGGACTCAGAAAACATGTTTTCATCATAAAATTAAGCGAAACTGACATACATTTGGTAAATTTTTTTTTGATAGCTGAGACTTCTAAATCTCCAGTCTTTCCTCACTCATGTCAGCACAGTCTGCAGATGCGTACCCCAGCTCAGACCTGCATTGTGATCCGGAGCTACACAACACAGTGTCCATGATGGCTCGCCCGAGACAGCCCAGAGATACTCAGACACACAATGGAAAACATCATACTGGCTTTGTGTCTTTGTTTTTCCTTCATGCCCAGCACTAACAACAAACAGAAGAGAAAAACAAATCCCTAGGATCTCACAGGTTAGGCAAACGTGCTGTCATCAAGCTACGTGCCCAGTTGCCAGGCCAACATTCTTACCTTGTCTACACAAGGACACTTGAGTTCCACTCAGGTCCAAGGCCCACAGCAAGTGTTCAGCTAAGTGTTCGATTTAAACCGCTAAGGGTCTGAGATCTCTAGTGATTGACCACTAAGTGGTAAATAGCAAAAAAGAACAAATGGGTTCCGGAGGCCACTCTTCTCATACCTTCCACGGAGGGTGACCACTGCAGGTGGGAGGGTGAAATGCAAGCAGGGGCATGCTTTGGCCTCTGCACTCTGGGCTTTCTTGTGTTTTATAGGGCCTTCAGTTTTGGGATCTCCAAAGCCCTGCTGAATCCCAAGGTTGCATGTGCAGGGCAGGAAGACAGACAGACAGACAGACAGCCAGACAGACAGACAGACAGACAGACTTGCTGAGAGGGTGGGACACCGCAGGGTAAGAGAATCACCACCTCTTGCCCAGACCCTCCATTCGTCACAGGCAAAAACCAAGCATTTTGAATTTTATTCAGACTTCATAAAAATGAGTTTTTCTGCAAATGAAGAGCAAGTGGAGCTTCATCATTAATACAGAGAAGTGAGACTGAAATTATGCTGTCTTGAGTCTAAACAGAGATGGTTTTGTACTTTATAATATCTGAGCTGGTGATGCAACATAAAAGAGGGCAGTATAATAGGAATGAAATGGAATGAAGAAATCTCCAGAGGCCGAAAAGAATAACCCTGGAGGCAAACAACAACAACAACAACAACAAAATCT